AAGCTCGTCGATGGGTAAAAGATTCACGCCGGTCGTGTGGCCTGCGGCTGGCTCTTTCAATTCACAGATGCCTCGATACTTGAACCTACCGAAGATTTCGTCCTACAGGTCGCCGGTGAACACAAGACGAGTGAGAGAGTTTGTGATGCAGCATGGCAAGCATAGGACTCGAACTTTCATCAAGGACTGCCACTTTGGACTTCATAAATACCGTCGGATTTTGGGTCAGTAATCTTTTATGTGTTTGTTGATGATTGGCAAGAACGGGACGGAGCTACTTCAAGTAGTTATTTAAAAAGGAGCCAGAGAGCTGAGGGTTTCTCGAGCGATAGGCAAATTATGAATGCACTTAGAAAACTAGTTTCCGACGCAGAAGTAGAAAACGAGATACCGGTCCATAATCTATCATCCGAAGGACCAAAGCTGTAACAGATGAGAATGCTACAACAAGTTGCCGACTTCAACACCGCCTGACGCCGACCCAGTCAATTTAGTGGACGCCATCGAGCTTGTTCTTAAACCCTCTTCCACGAGCCCGTCTAGCCACAAAACCTTATTTGACAACAAGTCATTTCTCTCGACATGACGTACAATCCCTGTGTAGTGATCCCCAGAGCGGAGGACGCACTGGGGACGCTGAAGACTTTCGTCATACAACCGGCAGAGTAAGGACGTTTTATAATTACACTAGCCAAGCCGGAATACTTCATGAAGGCCAGCGCACTGTTTGATAACTATCAAGCATGTCGCAAGTGTGTAAGGGGACCCGATGTAAACGTTGACGACAATAATAAAGTCAACGCTCATCGTGTTACAGAATAATGATGCGATTACTAAAGCGAAACGATTAGCCATCAAATCAACCGATACGCCAGTAGAAAGACCCTATGATCTACCCAAAATTTACAAAGATGTGACAATTGAAGTGACTTATGATGTCATGTGGGCAGAATCCTGCTTTATGTCCCATGCCAGCACGTGAAAGCCCCATCCTTTTGTAATACAGGACCAGGGGTAATAAAGAGTTTACAGGAAAGGAAAGGAAATATAAAATAAAAAAATAAATATTATAAAAGTAGAAATAGCAGGAATAATTATTGAAAAAAATCCAATATTTGTGAACAAAAAAGAGCGTTTTATGATTAAAATGTGCAATGATCCAAATATTAGGAGATAAACAACATCAAAAAGAAACTAACTAAAGCTAAGAAAAAAACGTTAAGTTAAGTTAGCCAAACTCACTTAATAAAAAATAAAATAGTAAAAATAATAATGAACTGAAAACGAAACTGAAAACTGAATTTAAATATCAATAAAGTGAATAACATAAAGCAACGTAAAGTTGTTGCGCATGTAAATCTAGGTGCAAAATGTCCAAATTTTTCACACCTAATAAATGCTAAATGTAAGTTAATTTCTGAGTTTATTTATGGCGCACTAAATGTTGCGAACAAGTAGATTATTTTAACCATTTCTGGGACCTAAAGAAAGAGTCCACCGTCACGTGTACTTTCAACACTGGCTTAAGTCACCACTAAGGCTTGTGCCTAATTCTCCGGACATCGGCATCCTCTCTATCCACCGCCTCCAGCCTGTATTTTTTTTGGCGAAAATCACTGAATTTATTCAGCGTTAAAGCTTGTGACTACTCTTCCGGGAACACCTGGTCTTACCTTATTACACACACGCCACTGTTCAGCTCCATTGACGATCCCTTAAAAATAGGAACGAATATGCGAGTTCTAGAAAACAGTACAGAAGAAGACGATGCGACCACCGGAACAAGGATTTTAGTTTCCTGACGTTTTGGATTCCGTCAGGAAATCTTAATCATAAGCAATGGTAGGTTAGTCTGAGACATGCGCAGATAGGGGGGATACATGCCCGGATTGCACGGTATCTGTAGTTCGTAGCGACCATCCGCGTGCGTAATATAATTATCCACTCTAATTGCCACCGCTTGGGTCTTAATTGGTGTGGTGGTGGCTCGATACTTCGAGTTCGACTCATTTATTGTCGCGATTTGCGTGTCCGTGTTGGACATGGGCTTGGTAATTTTGCGACAGGTATGCCCGTTGTCGTTAGAGTTGTTGATGCTGGGCCCAGCCCTTCCCACGTGACTGATTATCTTACTCAGGCAATGTCTCAGTACGCAGTATGGGAACGCCGAATCATTGCGCATGTTGATGGCCTGGGGGCCTGAGAACCATGACTCGAGCAGCTCGCGGCTCACGTGGTTGTCAGTGGTTGCGATGAATTTGGCCTCGCCAAACTGGAAAATATGGTCAGGTCCGGTCGAGTGAGCTGCCATCTGGGAGGTGGCCTCTTTCTTCTTCACCACCGGTGCATGCTCAGCCATTCGTTTCCAGAGTAATCTCCCGGTTTCTCCGACGTAGTTGCATGGTCCACAACTGCATCGGTACATGCTTCTGCGCATGACTCAGACTAACCTAACATTACCTATTACTAAGGGTTCCCCACGGACTCAGAAACGTCAGGAAAATAAAACGCTGGTTCCAGTGGTCGCATCGCCTTCTCCTAATGCCTTAACAGTAGACAGTGTACCGGAATATCGAGTGCGGTGGAGAATCTGCGAATCGCCATTTCGATAGGACCATTTAGTGCCTTGACAACCTAAACAAGAACTAATATCTTGCGCATTCCAGAAGCAGAAGTTATTTGTAAAAACATTATTACTTACAGTTTGTACGTAGAAACTGCACAAACGTATATGAAACACCGGAATATAGACAATGGGCTTTTAAAAGGCCGACTGCTCTCAATAAATAAAGTGAATTTAACTGATAACATAAGCTTTGACATCTTTTTTCTGGAATGTCATCGGCGACCAATCGGTGGTCCAGTTAGCACACCATTTACCGCAAACAAACGGCACATTATGGTATTAATGGTCACTAAAGGTACTGTAAACCAAAAAGGAACATGCAAAGCTAAGGTTTTACTTAAATAAAACAGTAAAACTAGTAAACTCGTGAAGAAGGGCCTCACGTTGGTACCCAGGGGATTGCACCTGTCTTGTAGAGCCAGTCATTCCAATTCACTTCAGCGATCACATTGGTGCCAAGATGTTTGGTAAGGAAATCCAGCCAGGAGCGGGTGCTTATGGAACGTCCTTGGAAGTGGTCAAGGTAGGCTCGAAGCCACTTGAGCATAGTAACTGCAAAAAGAGATCATTGGTTTAATTAATTTAGGCGCCGAGGATACAGACCAGAGACCAAATATTTCCCTATTTTAGGCATGAAATATGCCCTTAAATGTCACAATAAATGCATTATATCGAATTGGA